CGCCGCTCTGTTTTAAAGAAGCCTCTTCGTCAGTCTCTGAGTCCAAACCTTCTTCCTCTGAAACAGATGAATCATGCTCATAAATCTTTTTGGAAACTGGACCAAGTTCTTCGAATGATGAGGTGGAATCATATGGAGCCGGCGTTGACGAAGGAACAATGTATCCTGATTCAATCCTCGCCTCGGGCATCATTTGTATCAAAGACTGCAATTTAGGATAACCGAGGCTCCGGTAATCTAAACGGTACCCGAATTTTTCCAAAAAGTCTTTCTTTAAGTTACTCATGTTGTAACCTCCAGGGTTTTCCTCTGTTATCTTCTTTATCAGCTTATGACAATCCTCAATTACCTCGCGTCTTGATCTCTCCAACGGTTTCTTGCTTATACCAATGTTCTTGGGTTTTTTCTCATCATCTGCTTCGTCACACTGCGATTTTGACATACTCGTGAATATCGATCGCAATCCACTCGAAGCACAAGAGTGGTCAAGACCCGATCCTTTTTCGGTGAACCGAGTTACTCTGAAAGGTAGAGCATCAGAAGAATTCTCTTTGATCCATTTCTTCTCTGATACTAACAGAGATACTAAATCAAGCATTTTGGATACATCGAGCGGTTTGAGAGATGAAGGTCCTTCGTCCTTGAGATTCTTTGCCAGCACGTCTCTGAACAGATAAAAAGAACAGAGAAGCTTACCATAAACTGAATCTTATTTCCCTAATAGCTAAATTAGCTAATGCAAAAACACTTGGAAGGGAAAGAGAAGAATCAAGAACCTTGATATTGAGTGAGAAACAACGACAAAGCCTCTTGGAGAATTAATGAAAGATTCAACATCCTTCCAAAAAGAATCTTTAGCAAAAATGTCACCTACTTGAGTTTCAGCTGCGGCTGCATTGCGAAGCTCTGAATTTGTTCCCCAAATGAACTCGAATCTCTTTAGAACCCGACTTAAAATCCCCGGAGTCGCAGATTTTCCATTACCTATTACAGTGTCTGCGTTTACCTCCTTAGCAGATTAACTATGGGTGGAAGATGCAGTTTGAGATTCTAAGTTCTTATCCACTACTTTTCCTTCACTAACAATGCCTTTCCATTCGTCTCCATTTCCAGAAATACTTTTCTTTCCTTGGCGATGGTCTAGTTCCATCTCCGGTGAACCAAACCATAGTCTATTTAGCTTCTTAAAAAACCCGTCTTTTCCCTTCGAAGAAGAAACATCATCCCCGGAAGTTATAGCTAGCTGGTTTTCTTTCACGGGTTCGTCTTTTGCCTTAACATCCATCTGGCTGATTACCGGAACAGACTCATGAGAACTCTCTTGTGATTGAGATTCCTCTTTGACATCTTCAACATTCTGTTTTACCTTCTGATGCATCTTTTCCACACTCGCAGCTTTGGGATTCTCGCTACTTAGTTTCGGCAATGAGGCTTTGTTATCCATTTCCTGGGTACGAGCATGAACAAGAAACATACCATCTCCCGCAAGAACAACCTGTAAGACCTTCGGCATAGATAATAGAAACCTAAAAAAACTCTTATGTCCGTAAAAGTCTTTATCTAACGGCACATTTCTCTTGCTAAGCTGCTCACGGAGTTGTGTAATGGATGCTCCCTTAGGATATAAACTCAATATCAAACCAATCTGCTTAACAACTTCTTTTGGGATAGGACCACAAACCTTAGAAGAACCCGAATAAGGATTTGAATTCGATTCGCGCAATTCTTCGGTTTTCACACTAGTACAAGATGTGGCAAATGGGTCAAGAAGAGGAGTTTTATAGTGACCATACCAAGAATTATAAGGACCATCAGGTGGCTGGTTAAAGTGTTTACCAGTGTAATTTTCTCCTCTAACTAAACCATTCCAATCCCACATAATCGAAGCAGCGCTACACAATACACCGGACGTAGCTTCTTCGTTGCAGGCGAGCAAAATGTTGTAGTTCTTCATCCTCAATCTGTGTAAGAGGCTAGCTAAATCTCTATTGCTAGAGATGAGGAAGATATGAGCAGGAGGTGGGTTTTGAGTAACCCAACACATCAAATCCGTAATCAGAGATCTATCAACACTGTTCTCCTCACCTGTGAAATCGCATTACAACAACAAGATTACAAGAAAAAGGTAAGCTTTTTCCAATACCAAGTTTTGAATTGACATGAAAAAAGGAAGCAGAGATTTTGAAAAAGGATCGACCTTGAGGGACATGAGTGAAACTGATTCCGGTGGCGAAGAGAGCTTCCTGGTTTGTTCTCGAAAGCTGCAATAAGTCTCCGAAGGCGGTAATCGTGATGGGTCCTTTGATTCCGTTGAATCTCACGGCGGATGTGATGGTCTGAGATACTTTGAAGACGTTCGTATCCGCCGGGAATTGACATTTCTCCAAATCCCACCACACCGAAACCCTAACACCCCGAGATTCCTCGTCGTGATGATGACGCCTCAAACCGGAGACAGAGCCGGAGGTTACATTAGTAGAAGAGAAATTCGCGACCAGAACGGAGATCGCCCGACGCGACGGCGGCTCGGCAACGGAGATGGAAGACGAACGGGCGAGGCGGAGGAAGAGGGATTTAGAAGGACCCATATGCATGATTTACTCAGGTAATGAGTAGAACAAAGAGAGATTTCATGTGTGATTGATTGTAGTGGCAGAGATAATAAGTTCACGGCGATGAAAATTGATCAAAGGGTTTTAACATTTTAGATGTTG